ATGAATTTCTAAAATGCTTCACTAAGAATTCAATCATGGAAAGTATCGACACGCGTACGGAAATTTTCAATATCCTCCTACTGGTAAGCGTTTTTTTTTGTTTTGGTTTTTTTTTTTTTTTTTTTTTTTTTGGTTAAAAGAATGTTGCTAATCAGTTTCTTAGTAGTATTCTTTTTACAAATTGCGCGATTTTAGAATATAATTTTTTGTTTTCGAATTAAGTTGTAATAAAATTTACTGAGAAATCTTTTAAGCTTTTGTAGAAAATTAAAGTGATATTAAAAAGAATGTGTATGTGTGTATGTACATATATAAATATATTTTGTAGAATTTTCAAAGAAAAATTCAAGTGGTTTTAGTAAATTCATGACTACGTAAGCGAAGTATGTGTTATATATTGCATGGAAACAAGCGCCTCTGCCAGCCCCAAAATATAACCAGGCGGGGGCGTTTGATTGCGCAATATGTAAATTATAACTTTTATTAACTTGCATCAAAATCCTAACGGATGTTTTCAAAATCAAAAAACGCTCAGATGTGATTTTGTTTTTTAAATCATTATTATTATTATGCCTACCACCTTGAACTTGAAAAATGTAAATAATATTAATAAAAAAATATGTTAAATCTTCTCTTCATTTAAGTCGAATTTTCAAAACTATATTTAAAAAAAAAACATATATATGGAAAAACTTTTGCATCATAAAAGTGTAAATTTGCTAATTCAACTACTTGATTTGTGTCATTTATCGGCTTTTATTATTAATTCGACATCGTCATCACTTATGGACTTATAAAGGATTTATTTAATTTTTTTATTTTTTTTGAGCTGAAATTGCTTTACATATTTATGTTATGTAACTATATATGTATATATGTATTGTATCTTTTTGCATTATTATATTTAGAATTTGTTCTAATATGCTTGTTGGTTACGTAAATCGCAAGATTATTAACAATCGGTTTTGGTTTATTTAACTATTTGTTTCTTCTTCTTCTTCCTAATACATCACTACTCTTTTCTTTTTGTTTTTGGTTTTTGTAATGTTTACCGAACTTCGCTTAAGCATTTGTAAACTTTCGATTTTGAATAATTTCTACTAAAACTTTGTTATTTAATACGGGAAGACCATTAAAAAGTTGAAAAAGCAGCAACAATAACAAAGAAGAAGAATTTTAAAATATTAAAAAATTATTTATAAATTATTAAAAACATTTGAAATGTTGAAATTGACCAATGTTGCATCGAGAAATATTTGAGAAAATTTAGAAATATTTCACATAATTTTCCGAAATAAATAATTTTCTGATTTTCTAAATTTAAACGTTTTTTTTTTTAATAAAATTGACAAAAACTTTGAAACTTTCTTAGGTACAAAATTAATATATATTAATTATTCTTTATTTTTTATTTTACTCAAATATTTTGAATTTTATTTAGCACTACCGTTATTTTTATTAGCAGTATAACCTCTTTCAAATCTCTCTCTACCTCTCTCTCTCTCTCGCTATCTCACTACAACTTAATGCCGCTCATTGTAGGCAACTAAGAGCATTTTGTAGATGCAGTATATTAACGGTAATAAAAGTAGTGGCTTAGAGATTTGCAAATTAGTAGAACCATTGCAGCCATCGGTATTGCAGCAGTAGGTTTGTGTCTCCCAGATTTCTATGAATAGTAGAATGTTGAAAAAAATGGAGAGAAAATTAATAAAAGATAGAAATATGTACTTTTTCTTCTTAGCTAAATTTTATGGAATTAAAATCAAAAGCAATTAATTAACATTAATATTGAAAAATACTACGGTTTAGTTTGTTTCTCTTCTTACCTTTCTCAACACACTCAGTGGCGCAATCTCGCACTGTAGATAGCTCGCTGACATATTTCTGCAAATATAAGATTAACGGTTTGTAATTAGTGCTAATATTGAAGTTAAAAGTAAAAGTGTCAGGAGAGGCGCTTGTATGTTTAACAAGGAAATTTTCATTATCATTTATGCTTTATGAAAATACGTTGAGCCAGTTGGAATATTTATTTCCAGCGCAACTCTGATTTCAATGGTTCGATTTTGGTTTAAAGTACAAAGTGCATGAGACCCCGACCCCGCTATGAAAGTTACTTTAATCAAATTAAACTACCTGATCTTCTTAACCGACTTTTTCCGGATTATTCTCAATGTTTTCTAACTTACTCAAAATTTCCATGTCTTCATTGTTCTCCTTCCTCTTAGCGAATTATTCTGCCTAGCATCCCGAATTCTTATTGGTCAAGTGAAAGGCCAAGCCAAACATAATTGTCGCTTTGGAACCGCTGGCGGTTTCGCCAACAAATCGAGAAACCTTCAGTATACTTAGCCGACACTCCTGCCTTGGGGCGACCTCAGTGAGAAAAATAATAAATCATAACAAAAGTCAAATAAAAATAGATCCGCCACTTTTGCATTAAATTGAAGGCTTTATTTACCAGAGTTACAATTTTCCGATTTATGTCAAAAATGCACCAAAATCGCTCGATAACTTATGACCTGCCAGCCAAGCTCTGCGAGCTTCTGCCGAATCACTATCGATGCAAGTGATCTGGTGTTGTCCGAGTGAAACACAATGCCCTTTTCTTAGTCGATGCTGGGCATTTGCTTCCTTCAGACGGTACAATTTCACATTTTCAGCTGTCTGACTTAGGTTTTCGCTTTTATTGAAAATAATTTATAGAATTTAGTGTATTAGCTCTTTGCTTTGACATGCACCCAAACACTACGGAGTCAAGTGACTCTTCATTAACAATGTAAAATATTTATAAAAATTTACTTCGTAAAAATAATTTCAATTAATAGAAGCTAAAAAAATATAATTTCAGCCGTGTTCCCATATTCCTGTTTCGATTCCACAAGGATTCAAAAAACTTCATAAATTTGTTACTGATAAATGCCAACTCTCTTGTGCACCCTTTTTGAAATTTTCTTTTCAGCTTGAATTTTTCAAGGTACCCTCTGGAAATCGTTACATTGGTACATTGTAGCATGGATTAAGGGCAGTGGATAGGGCAGTACAACGAGTGGCTCTGGCAAAGAACGGTTACGACACGAAATATCTGCTGTTATCAAACAAACAGTAATCATATGGCCGACTTTGTAGTTAATTTCGTCTACTTTTGAACCTGAATAATACCAAATAACAATGTTAGCCTTGAAATCCGACCGGCCGAATTGAACTTGTGAGTATTAGTTTCAGCTGCTTTCAAGCACCAGCACCTTCAAAATCAAAAAATAAGTTGGTATGTTCCATCCATCTATTTAAAGTGTGGCCCCGTTGAGAAGAGCAGTCTTCCTGTTAATCTAAGCAAAAAAACCACTCACGTAAGAAATTTCAATTCAATCAAACCCTAAATAAGATTTTTTCGAACAATTCAAATTAACAACATCCAATAAGTTGGTATTAAAGTTTTTGGCAGAAAATTCTTGTGAAGGAACTACGGTACACACGTAGTGGGCGTAACAGCGAGGCCTGTAGTAACCAAAGTTATATGAATAAATGTCATACAAGAATTCAATAATTCTCTTCTAGGTACAAAATAAAAAAGGGAAATTCACCATCTTTAGGGTGACCAGAAACAATTTAAAATTCCTTTTAAAATGTAGTTGTGGAACGGCGTCTTTCTTTTTTCGATAGATAATTTCTTCCATTGGTTGAAATAAAGTTGCAAACGTCAAATTCGCAATGATTTTATTTTTAATCCGAAACTTGTTAAAAATTAAAACCAAAAGTATTGAGATTAAATAAGTTTTTGACTTTTTTTAATGCTGTTGTTTTTAGTTCCCCATCGAGGCAACGGTCGTTAACGCTTTGCCGAGAATAATTACTTATCAATACACGGTTTATTGCCTACCGTAGCGTAAATAATCAAAGATAAAGAAGCTTAAGACGAGCAACGGCCGATAACGATTACCGTAAATTACAAACGATTAAATGTAGAGCACAGAAAATACAATACAACAACAATTTTTTATAAACTAATAAATATTGACTAATCAATGTTTCACACGAAAAAATTGTTGTAATTACGCTATAATTTATTTGAAATCTGACAGAAGCAAAACATAACGAGAAATACAGAATGTCTTCCATCGATCGAGTTTTTATGCCTTTCATAAGGTCATTTCAAAATTTATGGTTTGGATGGTATATTAATTCTTAGATCTGAAATTCGGAAAGAGAAATGGCTTTGTGGTGAGGCATTCCGATTGCAATGAATTTCGGGATCATGTTTTATTTGTCTATACAAATGTGGAGCTAAAATTTTTTCTCGCTCCAGATATATATATTTTTTGACGGAGTTCTGGCAAAAGCCTTATTTCTGAACAAACCAGTGCATGGGAGTTTTGTATTAAAATCGTCCAATTTCATTCTCTTAGAGGTGTTTTCAATTATTATGGCCCAAAATCTCAAGATATGAACAAATGGGTCGTAAATATGATATAGTGGTCCGGTCTGGGCGGCTCCAAGAAATGATCATTTAAATATTTCAGTGCGTCTGTGAGAAAAATCTCAAAAGCTGAGGAAACTGACGGACAGAAGGCAGACGCTATCGGTATACATTTTGTTGGGCCTATCCTTTCTCTTTCTCTTTCTAATACTTAAACACTTCGGACCAAAGTTAAAACACCATTTCATATACATGAGAGATATAAAAGTGGAAAGGAAAATTTTACAACGCGTGGCTCTGATAACCTTGACTGTGAATATAAATTCACTTGCTTTCGCTGGTAAAAAAAAAACTATTATTATTTTGTATTTGATAAGGAAATATAAGTTTTTAACAGAAAAGGAAAGAAAAAATAAAGACTAGTCTGTGCAATAATATATTTCCTTCAAATGTTTATTTATCGCCTTTGTTACAATTATCTAATCTCTTTTGGTCATCTCACTCACGGACATTGCCGATAGCCGAAGTATTTTGCCATAATAAATTTGATTATATGCCATTATCTTCATGAGCAGCAACACATGCCACAGTTTAGTTTGCTCGTTTCGTTTATTTTACTACAGTTGAATTTTGACTCCTAATCATGACGCTTACGCGACGCGCACTACTTTCAGCCACATTGGCCTTTGTACTGTCCGCCACACTAGCGTTGCCGCCATGCGACCGCGACGATGAGGATTGCCGCGACAGTCGCATGCATCCGGATCTGCCCGCACTGCCTCAAGGCCGGGCTGAGCTACGCAAATATGATGGCGAGGACACTAACGACTATTGGCTGGACCAGGGCAAGGAGTTCATCAAGATGAAGTTTGCTGAGACACTCAATACCAAAAAGGCGAAAAATGTTATTCTCTTCCTCGGCGATGGCATGGGTGTTACCACACACTCGGCGGCGCGCAATCTCATTGGCGGTGAAGAAAAATATTTCTCCTTTGAGAAATTCCCCTACACAGGCTTGTCGAAAACTTACTCAATCGATCGTACGGTTCCCGATTCGGCAAACACCGCTACTGCGTATTTGTGTGGCGTGAAAGCCATGTATGGCACAATCGGATTGAGCGGAGGAGTTGAGCGTGAAGATTGCAACGCTACGCTGAGTGCTCAGAACCAAGTTTTTTCCATCGCCAAGTGGGCAATGGATGCTGGCAAGTCGGCTGGTGTTGTTACGACTACCAGAATAACACACGCCTCGCCAGCAGGCGTTTATGCCCACATCGCGGAACGTGATTGGGAGGATGACAGTGAGGTGAAGGCATCCTGTGGCGCAGAGACCCAAGTGCAGGATATTGCATATCAGCTGATACATGGCGAGGTTGGCAGCAAATTGTCATTAATGATGGGTGGTGGCAAGAGACATTTTGTGGACAGTAAATTATATGCGAATGGCACACGAAGTGATGGTCGCAATTTGATCGATGAATATCAAAAACTCAGCGCAAAGAATGCCTTTGTGGAGTCCCGAACTGAGTTGAACAATTTGAACTTGGAGGAAGTTGAACGCGTGTTGGGCATTTTTAGTGACAGTCACTTGAAGTATCATCTGGAGATAGACGCAAACTCACGTCAGCCCACACTGGAGGAGATGACGCGCAAGGCGATTGAATTCTTAAGTCGCAACGAAAAGGGTTACTTCATTTTCATTGAAGGCGGACGCATTGATACCGCTCATCACGACACCTACGCTCGTCTTGCGTTGGATGAAACTGTCGAGTTCTCCAAGGCCATCGCTGCGGCACGTGAGTTGACCAGTGAAGATGATACTTTGATTGTCGTCACGGCGGATCATTCGCACTCCTTCAGCTACTCAGGTTATCCAGTAAGTATTTCCATTTAAGCATATAAATTGAAAATAAAAATAAAATATTCACGTACATACATATGATATATTATCTTCCCTCATTCCCCAGTACCGTGGTAATGATATTTTCGGTCGCGCTCCTGCCACACCAGTTGATAGTAAGCCGTACATGACCCTAAGCTACGCAAATGGTCCTAGTTACGAGACATTCTATGATACCGTGAATAAAGTTCGTCGTGATCCCACAACCATCATAACTGGTGACATCCATGATGAGTTCCCCGCTACCGCTCCTCTGGACTATGAGACTCATGGCGGCGATGATGTTGCTGTTTTCGCATTAGGTCCTTGGTCTCACCTGTTCACCGGCGTCTATGAACAGAATACCATTCCGCACATGATGGCTTATTCCTCGTGTCTATCGGACGGTCTAACCTCATGCTCCAGTTCTAATGCATAGATTTAGCTGTCAATAACTGGTTTTAAATATTAACATATTTTAAAATAAAATATCAAAGACTTGCAAAAATAATAGTTTCTGGTTGTTGGAAATTCCTGTGCTGAGAATAAATTCATCAAGGTGAAACATAACATTTCAACAGTACATCAAGTGGAGCAATCGCTTTTCTGAAAATTAAAATTTCAGTCATATTTAAAATCCGTAATACGTAAGATGCTTGGCATCTCTGCGATAGTTTGTGTATCTGTATGTAAAATCTAACACTTTTTTTATGGCTGAAACAAAATTTCATTCGACCGCAAGCGACTTTACTGGAACGTCACAAAGGACTGCGAATGCGTGTACCTTTATTTAGCAACTAAAGTCTGAAGATAGAAATAGACAATATCACCAAAGCTTTTACAACAAACATATGGATATAACTTATGGATATCACTCCAAAGTAGAAATCACTCTTTGTGGGTTCAGGGCCAAGAAGAATTTGTTACAAATTTAGTTCGACAATCGAGGAATTAATTACACATTGCAACGGATCCAAGAGAAATAGGGAAAAATCGTCTCACGCTTGGTCACATCTTTATTATATAAAAATATGAAATATGTTTCTTTCAATTACTATTTCTTTATTTTATATTATTTTCTAACTTTTATATTTATATTATTTTTATTTTATTTTGTTACTTTTATTTTATTTCATTTTAGCTTACAACTTTTTTTATTTAATTTAATTTTATGTTACTTTATTATGTTATATTTCATTTTATTGATTTTATTTTATTTTATTTTATTTTATTTTATTTTATTTTAATTTTTTAATTATTTTAGATAATTAATGTTTTTTCATAATAAAACAATTATTTAACATTTATAATTCATTAATGTTTAGTTTTTGAAATTAGTATTATAAATTGAATGCCATACAAATTGCTACTTTTCAGAAAAAAATATGATAATAACAGTTTTCAAAATGTGACATTTGCATGCAATAAATGGAAAAAAAACGAATTGCCTTGAATTTTGTGGCCTTCAACATTCAATTTGTATGCAAAAAAAAAGCCGAGGGTGTACATGCAAACGCACTAGTACATACACAAACACGCACCAAAAAAATTTGCGCTGGAAAGTTGGTTGTCGGAAACTACTAACTGAGCGAACCCATTTTGGTGCACATTAACATTAAGATAACCTCAGCGATTATCACCGTCATTACTGAAAAAAAAAATATCAAATCACATGCAAACTTGCGGTACAAGCCCACACTCACGTTCATATGTATACATGCACTCGCTCTACAGCAATAAAAATAACAATTGTCGGAAAACGAAAAAAAAACTGTTTCTCAGCGTATTATTGCAACCTATAATGCAGAATGGAAATAAAAAAAATGCAACGCATGGGCAGGGAAATTTGCTGCCGTGGTGCAGGCATACTTTAAAAAAATGAATATTCATTAACTGACATGATGCAAAGTGGCAATACCTCGTCAATAAAAAAAAGGGAGAATCCGGTTATGTGTGTGTGTCGGTGGAGGTGTAAAAAGTTAAAAAAAATTATGTATTTATATACTCGTTTGTATATACATATATATCCATTAAGGTAAAAAAATCTGGTGCTTGCAAGGGCATGGCTACAATGCTATGAAAAGGTTTCTCATATATTGACATATATGTTAATATTTTCAATAATTAAAAAAAAGAAGATTCTTAGAAAAAAAAATACCTGATGGAAGGCAAAACTATTATTTTTATAATAAATTTCTTTAGAAAAAAATATCTGTGCATAGTGCACAGCCAGGTAATTCTAGTAAAAATTAAAAAATGAATACATTTTTTATGGACCAAAATGCTGCCGAAGACCATCTAGCTTATAAAATAAAAAAAAGCAAAGTATACTTTTAGGAGCACTTAAAAGCTTAATATTTTGTTTATATGTGCGTCTAGAGGATGTATTAAAAAATCCAATAAATTATTGAAAATCTAATAAAAAAAAAGACCAAACATATGTATGTATATGTATAAGTATTTAAGTGCGTATGTAAAAAAAAATATATTTAGCAGTAAAATATTTATGACCATACACATCACTCATTTAATAAAAAAATCCTCAAAACGCACTAATACAAAGCAAAGAAGATTATTTGAAAAATTTACCTTTTCACCTATTTTAATGCCTCTCCCTTACTCTCTCTCTCTTTCTTGCTCGTAAAAAAACCATCGCTGTTGATTACCTTTTCCGACAGGTAGCTCGCTGCGCATCTTTATTTTGCATATGACAATAGAAAATTCTGTGCATAATTTATACGAGTCACTGAAGTCACCTTATGTTTGCCATAAGAGCACTTTTTTCGTATATGAGCACAGGTGAGAATAAAAAAACAATAAATCAATGCCATAATATTGATGGAGCACTGTGATTTTATATCGCAGGCAACAAAAGGAGGGTAAAATGAAAAATTACAAATCAATAACTTTGAGTTAAAAAAAAATGCACATTGTATGCGTAATAATGACTTCATAAATATTTATGCGATGCGAAAATATTTCAAAAAGGTTAATATTACTTTTCAATACAAATTAACAATTTATAGGTAAAGTAAATTATGAACCCAACACTGCATATACGTAACCTGAGTATTTAAAAAAAAAAAAAAAATAAATAAATCTTCCATTTAGGTGAAAAAAATTTTGTCAGAAAGGTTTGTCGTTTGATATTTTTGTTGAAAAATTATTATAGCTAATATATCATATTTATATAAAAAAAATATATATTGTCAAATATCTCCCTTCCGCTTTTTTGTCTTTTGAATTTAAAAAAAATGTACAAAGCGCTACTGGCAACACTATACACAATTTGAAAGGTCTTGAAAAAAATTTGGATATTGCGTTCAACAGTTATAGACGTGTAAGCATGGAGTTCACAAAAAAAGAAATTCGCGCTATTTTAAAGTTTTCCTTCGTTAAAGGCAAATCCGCAAAAAAAATCCGTGAGATTAATGATGTTTTGGGGGATGGTACTCTATCACTTCGAAAAAAAAAGGAATGGTTTCGACGACTCAGAGCCGGTGATAACGACACCATGGATAAAAAAAAAGGCGGAAGACCTGTGACGACAAATACCGATCAAATCATGGAATACATCAAAAAAAACCGGCATATGGCATCTCGTGACATTGCCCAGGAGATGGGAGTTAGTCAAAAAAACATTTTGAACCATCTGCAGAAGGCTGCATACAAAAAAAAGTTTGATGTAAAAAAATCAACGCCTGCGATATGCTGCTGAAACGGAGCAAACTGGACCCATTCTAAAAAAAGATGGTGACTGGCGACGAAAAATGGATCACATACGACAATATCAAGCAAAAAAAATCGTGGTCGAAGGCCGGCGAATCGTCCCAAACAGTGGCCAAGCCGGGAAAAAAAACCAAGAAGCTTTTGCTGTGTGTTTGGTGGGATTGGAAGGGAATCATCCAAAAAAAGCTGCTCCCATATGGCCAGACGCTTAATTCTACCATCTACTGCGAACAAAAGGACCGCTTGAAGCAGGCGATCGACCAGAAGCGTCCAGAATTGGCCAACAGAAAAAAAATAGTGTTCCACCAGGACAACGCCAGACCGCACACTTCGTTGATGACTCAAAAAAAGCTACGGGAGCTCGGATGGGAGGTTTTATCGCATCCACCATATAGCCCAACCGTAGCGCCAAGTGATTACCACCTGTTCCTGTCCATGGCGAATGCCCTTGGTAAAAAAAAGTTAAACTCCAAAGAGGCTTGTGAAAAGTGGCTGTCCGAATTCTTCGAAAAAAAGGAGGGGGGCTTCTACGAGGAAGGTATTATGAAGTTGCCGTCTAAATAAAAAAAAAATAAAGTGGCAACTCTGGTTAAAAAAATATTTGCTATAACTGTCTCAAAAAAAATAATTCTTTTTTATTTTATCTTATTTCTATTGGTTACTGGCGTGGAAAAAAAAAAAACAGTTTCTTCTCCAAGCCTTTAGGCGCCAATTGAAGTCACCATGTAAAAAAAAACCTTTCAAAACTAAAATACTATCGTCGATACGTGCAACATGACCAAGAAAAAAACGTCGCTGCCTCTTAATGGAACACAAATTGCTCGTAAAACCCTTTCCTAAAAAAATTTCAGTGCCATCTCAACGTATGCCGACATTGTTTTGCGAGCATGCCAAAAAAAAACATAGCGTCGATTAACCGATGGTAGCTTCAAAATCGACGATGGGAAGGCGTGTGTCCGACATAAGCCTTTCCCGACCTTCAACACTTCAGTAAGCTACATCAAAAAAAAATGGAATTATTTTTTTTTCTTAATTAAAAATCTTCCAAACGATATTCCAAAAAAATAATTCCTAGTTTTAACCAATAAATTCACCAACTACTCTTTGTGGTATAAAAAAAAATGTTTTAAAAGTACCTACCGTCATTTGCAACCCTCCATTGGCAACTAAAAAAAAAGAGAGCACTGCAAATGAGCAGAAAAAGGGTCATTCATGAGCCACGCCTCTTTTCAATGTGCTTACGCTTAATCTTGGATCCAAATCTCTCTCAAAATTTATTTAATTTCATTTCAAATCATGTGTAGAAACTATTGCTGATAGCATAAAGGATGTATCCACTGGATACAACAGAGGATAGCGGTTGCTATATATCATTAAAAACATGTAAAAAAAAAAAAACTTTCTAATGTCCTGACTGCTCTCGGAAATTATTATGATTCCCAAAAAAAAATTTATAAGAAGGCTTCGCAAATTACAGAGGAGCATAGACCCGTAACACAAAAAAAATCAGCGCTCGAAAACAAGCAAGATTCTACTGCAGTGCTCTACGATGTAAAAAAAGCCTTCGACTAACGTTTGTACAAGCCCAGAGATACACTTTCCTCAAATAAAAAAACTGGACTAAAGAGCTTTCTTATTAAACAAAGATTTTTCGCTTAGACAGAAAAAAAACACTGAAATGAAATTGTCTATGAAATTGTCGCTGGTCTTTTAAAAGTAAAAAAATTAGGGCCCGTCCAAATAATACAAAATTGCCAAAAATGCAAA